TATATATATATATATATTTCTATCAAAATACACTTAGAATATATATATATATATATATATATATATACACACACATACATATACACACACGAAATATACATGTGTCCATATACAAAATTACATAATTATATAAATATACACGTAGATTTCAAATATATAAATATGCATACATATTTAAATTCTGCGTGCGTATTTATGTAATATTTTTACATAATAAAGTAATTTTATTGATTGCAATTTGAGGGACCTGCCTGCCAACCCAGGCCGAAAGTCCAGAGAATTAAATTTGCTAGCACTGTATTTTACCCTGTAACGTTCTACGACACCCTAAAACCTGTACATGGAGGGTACTGTTTTACTCGGGAGACTTCACTGAACACAAATATTAGTGATTCAAAACAGTAAAACATATCACAGCGATGATATTGCCAGTGAAAGTGACTTTTTTTGCATTTTTCACACACAAACAGCACTTTTACTGATGATATAATTGTGATACGGTTTCCAGTTTTTAAACACTAATATTTGTGTTCAGCGATGTCTCCCGAGTAAAACAGTACCCCCCATGTACAGGTTTTATAGCATTTTTGAAAGTTACAGGGTCAAATATTTTTACATTGAAAATGGCCAGGTTGGTTACGTTGCCTTTGAGAGCGTATGGTAGCCCAGGAATGAGAATTACCCCCATGATGGCATACCATTTGCAAAAGAAGACAACCCAAGGTATTGCAAATGAGGTATGTCCAGTCTTTTTTAGTACAGTGAAAATGAAAATCCAGCGCACTCGCTTATCTACTAAACAGTCATTTTAATGCTGAACAATTTTCAGTTTTATTAAAAACACCTAATCTAGGCAAAAAAATATAATGGGGGTTTAGTTACAGTATATGATCATACATTGCATAAGCCTGCCACAACGTCAATGTACCCCATCTTTGGCAGGTCCTACTCTGTCTGCTAAATGAGCTTCTCACTTGGGGAAATCCTTCCATCTCGAGGTCTCTGCAGTACAATGCTTATGCAATGTATGATCATATACTGTAACTAAACCCCCATTATATTTTTTTGCCTAGATTAGGTGTTTTTAATAAAACTGAAAATTGTTCAGCATTAAAATGACTGTTTAGTAGATAAGCGAGTGCGCTGGATTTTCATTTTCACTGTACTTATTGGCCCCCAGCAGCACCCTAATTTAGCATGTGTAGGTGAGTGCAGCCAAACCCTTACAGTCTTTTTTAGTAACCACTTGGTCACAAACACTGGCCAAAATTAGCATTCAATTTAGTTTTTTTACTTTCACACACAAACAAATATGAATGCTTACTTTGGCCAGTGTTTTCGACTAAGTAGCTACTAAAAAAAGACTGGACATACCCCATATTGAATACCCTGGGTTGTCTACTTTTAAAAAAATATGTACATGTGGGGTGTTATTCAGAGATTTATGACCGGTAATAGTGTTACAATGTCACTATTGATAAATTTTAAAAATGTATGTTTTGAAACCGCAATATCCTACTTGTACCTATAGCCCTATAACATGCAAAAAAAAAAAAGCAAAAAAGCACATAAACACTGGGTATTTTTAAACTCAGGACAAAATTTTGAATCTATTTAGCAGTTTTTTTCATTCGCTTTTGTAGATGAGTAAAAGATTTTTCACGTAAAAGTCAAAAAACATGTTTTTTTTAAATTTTTCATCATTTTTTTATTTTTTTAAATTAAAATACAGGAGATTATATAAATAATGGTATGTAAAGAAAGCCCCTTTTGTCCTGAAAAAAACAATATATAATTTGTATGGGAACAGTAAATGAGAGAGCGGAAAATTACAGCCAAACACAAACACCACAAAAGTGTAAAAATATGCCTGGTTGCAAATGTACAACATCGCAAAAACAGTCCAGTCCTTAAGCGGTTAATCATCATAAACATAAACAAAAAATAATCAATAAAACACACACACACACATAGCCCCATAAAGAGGAATAAATAAAGTTCTACTGAGGAGTGTCATAGCCTGAAAGACCAAGACATGCTTACATTTAAATAAGATATAATAAAGACATAAAAGTGGGATGTATCATTGATGCATTTAACGTGACAAGACATGATGAGGAGGCTGCTATAACAGACTACCTACTCATCATTTACCTATGGGAAAAAATGTCCAACAGTTCAATTCTTGGCTTGAAATTCATATATTATGAATTTGATCATAAAGTATGTAAAACACATGTGAAATTATATATACTTGCTTTATTCCTAAGGTACA